AAACCACCCCCATCGATATCTCCAAACACAAACCTCCGTATGCATCGTGACAAAGTTAGGGAACTCGTTGGCTCTCCAATCCGTGGTTTAACTGTTCTCGAGGATAGTGCATGGAGTCCGGCTTTCAATCTTGACCATAACTCCTACATGTTTGCCGATTACGTCCCGGACTTTGATATCTTCCAAGATTCCACAGCATCCTTTGCTGGGTCAAGTAATGGATCCCCAGGAAAGCGTTCAGTTAGGAGACCTCGCATGGATCGATCGAGATCTGCAAACATTTTGTCCGATGTGACTAATTCTAACTTGAACAAGAGTGTCACCTCCACACCGGTGCTCAAACTTACACCTGCGTTGGGTGGACCTTCAACGTTTCTTTCCCCAACGAAAGGGGGTTTAAGCTTCATGGATTCTCCATGCAAGCCAAATAATAACTCGCCGCTAAAATTCGATTCACCAACCTTGAATCTCTGTAATTTTGATCTTCCTCATGATGATTTCTTCAACTCTGAGTTCCTCACTGAAGATCTATCGGATTATGCCGGATTCGACATTACACAACGCTTTCCGAAGATTGGTTCAGGAACTCAACAGCAACAATCTAGGAATACATCCAAGAATCAACCACCCCGACCATCGATGGGTCGAAGTTCCACCACACGCTTTTAGGCTGGATACGTAAACAATAGTGTATTGGATACACACATAATGACTTAATGAACTTTACGACATTATGAAATTTGGGCTGTCAACTTCGGTTCTTCTTTGTTGAAGGAGGTGGAAGAGGTTGATATTTTGCTCAGGGGGTTCAATAGGATATTGATAGAGTCTGGAAAAGCCTCGCGACCTTTTGTTGATGATAATGACGTTTGGGTACATATTCATTTTGATTAAGGGTCTCTATTTCACATTTTTTTTTTTGTTTTACTTTGCGTTTGTCTGCGTTTTTGCGTTGCTATTTAAGGAATCGGGAAATAAGTGTGGTTGGACTCTTTCTGCGTCTGCGTTTGGAGTAGCTACTTAGCAATTAAGGTTGGGCGGTATTTTCCGGTCTTGATTTGTTTTATCTGTCATTTCCTCTGGACTTATACCTGGATCTGGATTTCTCATATTGCATGGCGCTGTAGGGAGGGTATTTCACTCTGATTTCTACGATAGGGTTTGCATATGGATATGGATATGGATGGACGGATATTTGGGAAGGCAGGCAGGGCAAACGGATGGATGGATGAATAGGAATGAGGCTATAGATGGAGGAGTTACGTGAATTCTTGAGGTGGTGAGAGATCAGTGATGATTAGGTCTACTCGTTGTTAGACGAGAATCATTCGTTGTAGTGAGTGATCTGAAAGATTCGTGGAAACGGCAATTCTTAGTACATATGAATATGTTTAAGCCTGTTTGTGAATTTATCTATTTGCGTCTTTGATTACTTTTAGTGACTGAATAAATGAGTCGATAAGTGAAAGGGTGTAAATCCACTCGTATAAATATCGGTCCTTTCGAAGAAATGAAACTTCCAGAGCCCCCCTTTCCTAGTTTTTCTTCCTATGTAAGATCTCGATAAGCTTCAGCTGTGGAGTATTCACCACGCAGTTTCGTACGGGAAAGAGACTCGAGCGAGTGTGACTGCGACTGTGACTGCGGGTATAGATGTGAGTTGAATTTTTCAATCGAACATACAAGTGTTGTGGTGCAGTGTGTCGTGAAGATGGTAGAGATCTCATACTCTTCATACTTTTTCCATCTATCATAAGTATTTCTTTGACGATTCTGGGTTGAGGAATTGATGGATTGAGGGATTGGTGGATTTTTTGATGTGTGTGGTATGTGGTATGTGGTACGTGGTACGTGGTATATCCTGTTCCATTCCTTTCCCTACTCGCAGGTCGCACGGCACAGCTCCTTTATTGCGTCTTTGATGTATTCACGATTGTGCATATACTCGTGATTGTAGATGTAGTTGATGAGTGAGTGCGTTGGTGTTATGTTTGGGAGTGTTGGGTTGTGTGTATGGTTTATTGATTTGTTGAGTTTTTATTCGATTCGTTTTGTTGTGTTTTGTTGTTTTGTTTTTGTGTATTCTTCTATTCTTAGCTCTTGATGGTGATACCTAGTGTTATGTAGTACGTTGTAAGTGCAATGAGAGATCGGAGGTGGACGTGGATATAGATATAGATATGGATTTGGATTTGGATTTGGATATGGATATGGATATGGATATGTTGTGGATGTGTGAGGTAGAATATGGATTGAGATGTGGATTTGAGATGGAAGTGATGGGGAAGGGTATATTTCTTGTCTTGGGATTGTTTGGGACATTGTGATGAAGCGAGTCTGTGGTGATGTTTGTCCTGGGTTTTTGGGATGTTGGGATGTTGGATGTTGAACGAGGCGGATGTGAAAGGTAGTTGGTGGTGGATGGTTTGGGGAGGAGAAGAGATGAGATGGTTTTCTGGGTTGTTCTTTAGTAGTTGGGTGGGTGGACGGATAGGTATGGACGTATTACTGTGCAGTCCCATCTAGATCGGTAGTAAGGTTGGATAATCGTTAGGGCGATCTTGAGGATGGATAGGATGGAGGGTTTATTCTAGAGTCTAGTAAGAATATCATTGTGTTGAGAGTTTATGGATTGGTTTGGGTGTAGTGTAGTGTGGGGGGTGGGGAGGGGGAGGGGGGTTGTGTCAGTTTGGATTGTATGGTTATATAGTAGGCTATATGGTATTCTATGATATGAATTGGGACATTCATATCAATTAATACAATGATATAAATTTGAACAACAATATAAATTTGGATAATGATGTAAATTTGGACAGTCATAGAGTCTTCAAAGACGGCGAAGAGGTCATAAGGGGTTTCCTCTTCACATCTGCACTCCCACTCCTAGGCCCAGAGGCTCTAAATCAACGCAGGCGCCAGCTCGCACCCAAAATGTATGTGTGTGTGTGTTTGAATACCTACATGAATCTGACTCAAAATATCGAAAGCATTTAATAATTAGATCCGCATTAGAATATTGAAAACGTCCGATCTTCAAACTCAAGTGATAACAGCGACTATACTATTTCCTCGAAAAATCCTTGATATACAACTTATCTCGATCATCGTATGATGGTCTGTCTACTCTAATAATATATCTACCCCCTGCCAAGACTCGGTTGACAGACTCGCGATATAAATCAGAGTATCCAATAGTCCGACCTGCAATCCAACAACACAAGATTTCAAATATTAAAAAGCAGTTTGAAATTTGAAACGGTGCAATGTTTGAATCAAATTCAGCATCTTAAATGATTTTGATATTCTATTTGGTCTCGGGATTTGAGGATCTTTGATGGGGGATTGTGGTTTGGATTATTGGGTATTCTAGGATGGATGTATATCGATTATCTCGGAAGGAGAATCCAGATAGATTCTGATGGTCTCGGGAGTAGTAAATGATGTTCTCGGAATTCTTTCATATTGTGCTTTGCAAAGATACTCTATTTAGGAAGGAATCGGTGGGTGGGTTTGGGGGGTTGGGGGATTGTCTTGTTCTACAATCGCATGTTGGGGATGAGCAGTTTCTCTGACTCTGTGTTAGTAGAGTCAGTGTTGGAGTTAAACCTGTGATTGGGTTGTTAAGGGAAGGTGGTAGATGAGTAGAGTGTGTGAATAGCAGTTTGAATAATCGTCAGAACAACAGTTAGAACAATCCTTCAGTACCATCAGATGACATCACATCCATTCCCGACCACAAAATACACCGCTCAAAAACGTCCCAGTTTCGGTCTCACTCTCACTCTCACTCTCGCTCTTGTTTTTTTTTCTCCTCAACCCCCCCCTCCCCAAATTTATCCCAAATCCTCACCAATCTTCTAGCTCCCAGACTTGACAACAACATACATCATAGCCCTATTTCTAACACGCCGATACTCCATACCCAAGCGACTGCGCGTCAGGATCCACAACCTGCGATGGATAAATCATTCGCAACGCATACGCGGACAAAGACGTTTCTCTACTCGATGAATTAGAAGACATTTCTCTGCACGATAGCTCGGAAGAATATCCACACAATCCAAATCCAAAGTCGTGCGTTTGACAAATGGAGAGGGAGTATATCCTCCGCAAAAAGCGCGGGTATCTATGGGAAATTAGAATGGAGATTACGATCAAATAACGCGGCATGAAGATACACAGGAAGTCTCACCTACATGTATTGAAGAAATCTCCGTTTGAGGAATTGGGAAACAGAAGTTTCGAGAAGCATTTTTCCAGAATGGTAAAGCGTATAACATATGCCGAAGAATGGAATGGAACGAGGGTTGATTTACAAAAGCTATTTCAGAGAATAATAAGTACTCACTACTCACCACTCACCACTCACCACTCACCACCCAAGAAGAAAAATCACACATTCAAAGTGAGTGAGCATAAAAGAAATAGTCGAATATTCCACATCACATCTCCTCCATCAACGCGTCACTAAAATATATTTCCCATTCATCGAGACCCGATTCTCACAAGCTTTGTTAAACAATTCTTCACCAGAAGTAGAAGCCTCGCAATCCATTCTCAAAGTCAACAACACCAACAAAATAAACTTCTTTCCAGCACGAATCGATTTAATCTCTCCAATCCATCCCTTTTTACATCTTGAAAACTAAGCGAATCGTGCGAGAAGCCGCCGCAAAACTGCAGTCCTCCGGCAACGAAAGAATCGCGAGTGCGTTGAAGCAAAAAGAGGAACATATGAGAGAATGAAAGTCGTTAGATTCTCCCGAGTCGAGGATATTCATCCATCAATTAGTTCACCAGAATGAAGATTGAAAATTCATCCGGGATCAACTCTTCAATTGTTTTTTTCTCAGCTCGGGATTCTTCTTCTTCTGCTTGTGCGAATTTTTCGAGTTTTTTTTTTCTTCAAACTGACTCGAAATCCTGATGTCTGACAGAAGCTTCATCACGAGGTCTTGAGTACCAAGCAGTCACTATCGAATCGAAGGTTAACATCCATGACGTATTTGAATCATGTCATCAATGAATGTAAGTAATACTTTGATTACATGATCTATCTCCCTTCATTGATACTTTCATGAAGGTCTTCATCTCCATGCCCCTGCCAAAGCTGCAACACGTACTCGCCTCTCCAATTGCATATTACCTTGCGTCGGCCATCCCGATGGCCCTATTTATACTCACGCCGGTAGACATATTTTCATGGACTTCGGAGCTATGAATACAGACCAAGATTAAGATTTACAGGGAAAAGACATATATGAATTCCGATCCGAAAGATGGGGAAACCTCGACCCAAAAGCGAGATACTAGCCCCTCTTCGCTGGTCCTCGTAGATGCCCTGCACAGCAAATGTTACTTACACAATACAAGTATCTATTGTTGGATGGCTATGATGTTTGAGAGGCTGGATAGTAAAGATGAGGTGTTGGTATTTTTCGAAGAGCATAACATGACTATAACTAGCCAGAATGGGGTGATGATTGCACTCATTCCTGCCATAGGTGAACGAAGATTTGGCAGGCTTTCAGTAGAACTACCTTTAGATCGATCGATCGTTTCTACGCAATGATGCAATAGCCCCCCCCCCCCCCCCCCCCCCAATATAAAATTTTGATTTGTCTATAGCTATGTAATTTCCAAAATGTTTCTGCGCATCTGACGATGACGATACCTGGAAAAGGACCAGTCTACTCCCGATCGTAATATTGCAAAGATCGAGGATGATCTGATTATACTAGCCGTGGAGACCCCTCGACACTTCGTTAATTTGCCAACCCCTATGACGCAGAGAATGTTCTCGATTAGTCAAAGAAGGAAAAATGGGACATCGTCTTCTTCAATGCCGTGATGACGTTGGTAGCGTGAGTACATGCGCAGATCTACACTTGGGGTTCTAAAAGCTGCTACGCATTAGGTCGTTCTAGACTTTAATGTTGACACGTTTAGTACCTGTAATCTTCTCTGGTTATCACTTCCCCGAGGGCGAGATCACTGTTCTTTTAGTCCCAGGTGGGGAACTTGGCGAAGATCTAGCTCTTCTGGTGATCACCTCTCTTTCGAAACATATTGCTTGGCATCGGTCATCTGTTTTTTTCTTTGCAGCTGCTGATTCTATTTTCATGTTCGGAGAACAAATTATGCAAGTTCGATGTAACAGGCTGTTTGAGACTGTACCGATGTGTATTGCTTTAGATGTTTGATCAGTTAAACCACATTGGATGCAGGAATCGTAACTGATCTATTTGGGGCGAGTTGAGGTGGTGGGAATCCTTCTTCCAGAGGGTCGTATATTTTTATACTAGGCCAAACTATATGATTATATGACAATGTATGAACGTTGGAAGAAGGGGGAACCGCAAAGAACTTCCCCTCTGCATCTCCACTCTCAGACATATGGGTTTAAACCAATTTATGAACTGCACGCCTGAAATCTAGACTAGGTCAGATTATGTGACACCCATTTGGCATACTGGTATCAGACAATGAGCCCTCTGATGCTGACGCTGAGGGAGATGGGTTTTGGGAGCGAATAGGGGGAGCAACAAAGAGAGAAAGAACTAGGAAAAGAGCAATCCAGATAATCCAATTAAATGAAGCAGGCGCTAGAACAAAATATGCAGCAGCACAAACCAGGAGTAGGCCAGTAACCAGTTATTGGTCTTCAAAAATTACCCATCAACCAAACAAATCCAAAAAGGGAAAACTGTTGATCATCTAACCGCAGTCCATACTACTGGAATTTCTACAACTATGCATACAGTAGTCATCAATGAATTTCTTTTCGGCTCATCTCAACTGGGCGGCCCCAGCTGCTCCGATCTTATCTCCGACACCCCTATCACTTGATAGGAGCATTAAGAAATTCATGCATTGCAATTGATAATCTTGCTGTTCTTTTCATCTTGTGAATTCGGATCTTCAGCGCGAGCCATCATGTGATCCGCATTGGTAGGGCGTGGGGTGGTTGTCTTTCCCAATGTTTGAAGGCTACTTCTGTCCGTTTCGTACAACCCTAGAACAGGAATCGAAGAAAGGATTTGTGGGGGTTGTGTTCAGATCTTGTGCTTTAGCTTGATTTTGTTTTGAGTTCGATGGGATGTCTTGGCGACTATCCTTGTAATCGTTAGGGATTTGACTTTCTATATCTGATGCTTTATTGAGAGGAGATATATTTCCATATTCAATCTCGTATAAATATTGCTTTGGCTTTCCTTTCTATACCTTGTGCTGCTTTTTGGGTAGATCTCGTAGAGTAAGTGAATTAGTTTCTTTGGGTAACCATATCCAGCTCCATTGGTGACTCTCCAGACCAAACTGTGTAGTAGATCTGCGTTAATACAGCTGCTTTGTTAGCTAAGTTCTTGTTTTATACCTTACATGGAATGTTCTAGGCTTGGAAGTGTTTTTGTTTGTTTTGAGAAAGTCTCCCTACTGGTATCTTCAAATCAACCCCCTACGAAAGCTGGATATCCACCACTTACTCCAAAACCCCAGGGATAAAAAGTTTCTTTTCGTCACAAACTACATCCCAAACTTCTTCTCTACTCTGTTCATCTATCCCCCGCCCATCTACTCATTTTGCTTTTGCGAAGGTATATTAAATTGTGGATACGTAGGAGTTCAATGTTGTGGCATTGGATGTAGTACTCATGGACATAACGAATCCACTTGGACTAAGTTTGGGCAACCACTGTCTCAACCATATGCAGAAGTCTGATAGACAGATGAATCGATGTATTAATTTATTGAGACTTGGCATGACTAATTCAACAGCATACCCATTTCCTTTCTTTCTCACTCGAAAATATCATTAGACAAAAGATTACACCGCACATGTAGTTAAAATTGACGTATCACGAAAGGTCATCCAACCTCGTGGATGCGGGACGTTTATTGTCTGTGTGTATACGGGTAGCATGCATATCCGCATCCAGAATGAGCTTGGACTCTGGCTTGGCTTTGCTTTCAATCTACCTGCAGTATATGTAAACAGTAGGTAACTCCTGGTATGACTTCAAAATATATGGTGATATCTGGAAATGTTAGATGAAAGGGTACAATGATTTGAATGTACCGCTACATTTCGATAGAAGCAAGATGAACAGCCGGTCATGCCAAGTCATGCAGTATGTACTTTTCCTTATATTTTACATGCAGACATGTTGAGAAATGATGTGAGGCTCACCTCAGGTAAGACACTATACCATGGTACTCGCACATTCATCTCACTATAGCACCTATGCAATAGCGTATGATACTAATGCAAATAAAAACCAATGTCATACCGCCGCTGAAAAAAGTTAAGGCCCGGTACCGGATGATCTACATTGGCAGTTGGTGCGTACATGCGCATATGTTTCACATATGAATAATAAGCATTATGCTGCAGCCGTGTAGATGGGTGGCTGTTGCACAACCTTATTGTCAATTGCCAATGAGGAGTTTTTGAATAGTGGCTGAAAACAAGATGCCTCGTAGTGAGAAGGAATTTTTGAGAGGAAGACCAAACGGGGTTTGTTAATGGTAACTTTTTGTTATGAGTTTATGAATGAACAAATTTGCAATCCTTAAGCTGCGCTTCATTAATGTGTTCGATGTTCCAACGAGAATTGATACATAAATTGACTTCAGTGTTACAAGTGATTTCAATATTCCACGTGAATCCAAAAACCCGGGTGAATTCAATATCTGTCATGAATTCGACAATTGAAAAACTTTCATTGTCAGGCACAGTCCGGGCTCTTGATAGGCAAGAATAAATCGTGTTCAAAGTACACAACACAGCAATTGCGATCATGCGCCAGTGACAGTCAGGCTGATGATATTAAATTTCAATGCCTAAAGCGCCTCAACTTAAGATTACTACTGTAGATGCCGTCCCTGTGTAGCAGTAACGACTTGGATGTGGGGGTATGAAAAGTGGCAAATATCTCGCGGTGAGGAATTAATATGTATGAGTGATAAATAGTCGCAATTTGTAACGTACGATTAAGCGCTGGCTGCCGGATATCTGTGAACACATGCAAATTGATAAGCTTCCCGTCAATTGATATTTGTACTAGGTGTGGTTGTTGAAAGGATTGGCGCTCACCGGGGAGCCGGGTGTATTTGGAATTAGGGCCATGACATTGTCAAAAGGAAGGATGCCATGGTACATTCGCACGTGTGTCCGAATGAGCTTGTGTTAGGTTGAATATTGCGATTGATAAACATAGAAACGAGGGATATCTTGCGGTGAGAAGAGAAATGTGATAACTTGAAGGAATTTGCTGTCCGTCGATCCTGAAAGCGCTTACTCTGATATCAACATCATCTGAGATGCACATATTACAATCAGTATTGAGAATAATTGAATTTACCATGAATCTTATTGGTCAATTCTCAACCAAGCAATATATATTCACTGCAACTTCAAGAAATCATGATGGTGTGACGATGGATGCCAAGTTACGGAGAAATGTGAGGAATTGATCTATGAGGGATTTAAATATATGTGAAATGTAAATTAAAAAGCTTGTTTTGAGGTGTTGTGTAATGGTCACACAGCATCAAAATAACCAACAGGACGGAAAAGTATACAGTTTTAGGTGATGGGAATGATGGAAACGGATTTGCAAGAATGAGGAAAGGCATGGCCAACGGTGTGATGAGATTAATGATTGTGATTGGTCAAACATAGAGTGCAGTGAACAGGATTCGGAATGTGGAGAGGTAAGCAGCAAACATATCATATTCTAAATTCGAGGATATGAGTGCACTCGCTGGAGATAACTCTAAGAGATACTAGGCAGACATTGAAGATTCAAGAAACGATAGACTAGGTACAAGGGAGATAGGGAGGTACTTGTGATAATGCTGGATGAGCTGGCATATCCTGGGGTACCGTACTGTGCGAACTATTTCAAGATACTTGGCTTGTTCTCTCCCGTGTATGTGAATGACCAAAAAGTGGCTGAAATGGAGAACTTCCTTTCATAAATGCAGTAAGTGTATACACACTAGGTGAAGTCGAGCCACTTCCACGTACATATATGTAAGATACTCCACGTTGGGTAAAAGAATATCTGGGGTACAAGATAAGAGAGCCGGAGTATGGATTTGAATCAGGAAAGAATAGCGAACTATTCGTAAACACATTGCAAAGTATGGAGTGGTGACTGAGGAGGTGACTCGCATGCATGATATTTCTGGAGTAAAGAATGGGGTGATGAACGCATGCAATGATACCAAGGTTG